AATAATTAATAACAACAACAATATAATGAGGATGATAATCCTGTACCATACAGCTCTAAAGTTTTTTAGAATAATCTTACTTTAACACAAAATAGTTGTGATCTTAAACACGTAAGCAGTCACTCGAGATCATACGTGCACTGTCACAATACAATCAATGATGATATCCCCATCACATTATGAACATCAGTGTAGAATGAATAAGCAGGACAACAATCAAGATGACATTTGTATTTACCAAGTATGGCATCTATGCAATTAAATTTTAACTATTACCTCCTACTTCGCATCCCTCAAATGCAATCTCTCTGATGCAATGCAAGAGTGTTTGTTCCAGATACGTATAGATGGAGCTAGATCTAGATGATAAGCAAAAAAACATCCCGGCGAGATTTTGATCTGCTTTCTGAGGTGCTCTCAGAAGGAACTGATCTTCTGATCTCTGAGATATTGATGGAACGTACATTCGAACTAGGTTACTCAAATATAAGTGGTGTATAATATAATGACTACATCAACAAGACATTCGATCAGGGGACCCCACAGGGAGCATGAGGCAGGGGTAGGCCACGGGAAACATGGAGGAGATGTGTGGAAAGGGACATGAGAGAGATGAAGCTCACTTAGAACAAGCTTGGAAGGCTGGCCCAGCACAGAGATAAATGGAAGGAGCTTGTGTATGTGGCTATACCCTGCCAGGGGTGAGAGGCATTGATGATGATGATATAATGACTAGAAATGCAGACTGATTAATGTGATATTTTTCATTTTGAATCATGATTTTCAATTATTGCAGTATCTGGGTTTGTGGTACGAAATCCAACGTTTCCCCATCGTGTTTGAACGGGGCACGTGCATCACAGCCGAGTACTCCCTCAAACCTAATGGTCGCGTCAAGGTGGACAACAGATTTCTCGAGTGAGTACATGTAACCTAAAAACATAATCATCTCTGTGGTACAGGTGTTTGGTGTTTTATTTTATTTTTGTTTTTGTTTTTGTATTTATTTTGTTTTGTTTTGTTTTTGGGGGTCTTTTTAGTGGGCAGGTTGTTCGTACTTTTGCTGTTTTGTTTTGTTTTGTTTTTGTATTGTTTGATCAAGTGGGAAATGTATTATTTTCAGATTAAGTTTAAGACTAAGATAATACTTTTATTGTCCCACCAAGAAATGTTTCTTGACTGTCATCATCATCATTGGCTTTCTCACCTTGGGTCAGGATATAGGCCACGAACAAACACTGTCCACCTTTCCCTATCCTGGGCTAGTCGCTTGATGTCACTCCACGTCTTCCCACTTTTCTGTACATCCATTTCCGTGACTCTTCTCCAGGTTCCACGAGGTCTTCTCCTTGATCTTTTACCCTGTGGGTTCAAATCTAACACTTTTCTTGTTATGCAGCTGCTTGACTTCCTGAGAGTGTGTCCAATCAATCGCCAACGTTTTCTTCCAACCTCAACTCTGGCTGGGCTCTGTCTGGTTCTTCTTAATACTTCCTCGTTGGTGATCCTGTCTGTCCATTTGATCCTCAGTAGCTTCCTCAGACACTTGTTTAAGAAAACCTGGATCCTCTTTATGCACGTATGGGATGCGTTCCACGTCTCACATCCATACAACAGACTGAATTCACATTTGAGTTGAAAATTCTAAGCCTTGTTCGTAATGAGATATCCCTGGTCCTCCAAATCCTGTTCAAAGAAATAAATGCAGTCTGTGCCTTTCCAATGCGGGACTTTATTTCAGCGCTTGTTCCTCCCTCTCTGTCAATTATACTCCCAAGATAGCAGAACGATTCGACGTCTTCTAGTGCATTTCCTTGTACGGTGACCTGCTCCTTTCGAAAAGTTCATCTATCCTTAGGACTTTAGACTTACCAGGGTGGATCCTCAATCCAACAGACTCTGATAGGCTGTTTAAAATTGTTGTCTTTGCTTGCATCTGTTCCTGAGTGTGTGACAGAAGCGCCAAGTCATCTGCAAAGTCCAGATCGTCCAACTGTGTTCATGGGGTCCACTGTATACCGTTTCTGTGTCCTCTGGTGGTTTCCTTCATCAGCCAGTCGACTGCCAATATGAAGAGCAACGGTGATAATAAACACCCCTGTCTCACACCAGTCTTGATGTAAAAGTTGTCAGTGAGCTGGCCATCATGTACAACCCTGCAACTTGTCTCTTCGTACATGCTCTTGATGAGGTTCACCAACTTCTGTGGGATTCCGTGGTGTCTCAGTATCTTCCATAGTGTTGCTCGGTCTATACTGTCAAAAGCCTTCTCATAGTCAAGGAAGTTGACGATCAGCTGGGAGTTCCACTCCAGGGACTGTTCCACAATAATCCTCAGCGTGGCAATCTGGTCGGTGGTTGAGCGATTTTTCCGGAAACCAGCCTGTTCATCCCGGAGTCTTGGATCCGTTGCTGTCTTGATTCTCTCCAGAATGATTCTGTTGAAGACGTTATCTGGTATTGAGAGAAGAGTTATCCCTCTGTAGCTGCTGCAGTTGTTGAGATCCCCTTTTTTGGAAGCTTCTCGAGGTGTCCTTCTTTCCAATCCTTTGGGAACTTGCTCTCATTCCAGATCCTGGTAAACAGTGGGAGGAGGATGTCTGCGTCACAATGGCATCTGCTTTTAGGGCTTCAGGTGGAATCTGGTCAGGACCGGCCGCTTTACCTTTGTTCAGCTTCTTAATGGCATCCAGAATCTCTTGTTTTGAAGGAGAATCACAGCAGATTGGTAACTCGTTTCTTGCTGGCAGGATGTTTGGTGGGTTACTCGGTGGTGGTCTGTTCAGGAGATTGTTGAAATGCTCTACCTATCGTTTGGACTGAGCTTCCTTTCCAAAAATGGTTTTTCCCTCTTGGTCCTTTACTGGTACTTCAGGTTTCCCGTATTTTCCAGAAAGTGTCCTTGTGGTCTGGTAAAGGATTCGCCTGTGCCCTCCTATCGCAGCTTCCTCTGCCTTCTCAGCCAGCCAGTTCATGAATTCCTCCTTGTCTTTTCTTAGTGATTTCTTGACATCTTTAGCTATTGTCCTGTACTTCTCTTATGCATCCGCTCTTGATCCTCTTGTTCTTGACTGTACTGGACCGTAAAAACACATGCAGGTATACATAGAAATTAATTCATATTACTCTTTTTAAAATTCAGTATGGAAAGAAAGGTAAAACTGACAATAATTTATATATCACATCAGATGCATCATTCGACCACGTGCAGGAATTTATCACATGACCTTTAGAGTTACATAGATACATGTATGTATTCGAAACAGCAATACACCTTAATGTTTATTTCGACAGTAGCTTTATACAAGACGGTAAGTAACTTCTTTTGTTTTGTGAAAAGTGTCCATAAAAAAAGATTGTTCAAGATGATGCCAGAAATGTTTATCCTTCTAAAGTTGTCGATTTATCCCGACATATTTCCAACGACTTAAACCTATGATTGCATGGTTGTATATAACTCTGTTCGGTCCTTGCAAGGGTTTTCTAATGATTAAAAAGAAGAAATGTGTCAATCAGATTTTCCTGTATGACATACACGTACTATCCACAAAAAGAATAAACAAGCCCGAAATAAAGAGATCAAATTTAAGCTGGCCTTTCTTTCTTTCTTTCTTTCCTTTTTCTGTCTTTCTTTCTCTCTTCCTTTATTTCTTTATTTCTATCTTTCTTTCTCTCTTCCTTTCTTTCTTCCTTTCTATCTTTCTTTCTCTCTGTCTTTTTCTATCTTTCTTTCTCTCTTTCTTGCCTTCTTGTTGGCCTTTTTTAGCACCGAAAATCTTTTTTAAAAATCTTCATGCCTAGCTTCATTCACCTCACTGTGTTCTTGTTCAGGAAGGGCGTTGTGAACCAAGCTATTGGAGAGGCCTATCAGCAGGATCCCGTGAACAAGCCGGCAGTTCTGAGCGTCAGTTTCAGAGTAGGTGAGTACAAAAATAAACCCCACCTTTGTCTTTTAAAGTAAGTGTGTTACGTTGCTCGCAACTGCATAAGGTCATATGAGCTTACACACACACACACACACACACACACACACGCACGCACACACACACACACACACACA